TTGGTATATATAGTTTTCTATTTACTACGCTTTTATATGAAAAGGGCGTATTTGGAGGGTCTCATTGGGTATTTAGTTACTCTTGAAAGCCTGTTTCGACTGTGTTTAGCGAGATGCGTGTGGCGTTCATATTATTTAGCGTGACTCGCGAATGTGGCAATTTTAGTATCGATTCGAGATGTTCAAATATAAAATAAACAGACACCGCCACTGCTTTTACGTTGGTACGTGTAGAGAGTTCAAAACAAATTAGATCGATCTGCAAAGGGTCCCTATTACATGGACACATATATATGTTATTGCATACGCTAATTTGATGTTTCTCTTGAAACCGGATTTTAATATATTGTTTGTCTTTTCCTCATAGGACACTGACCAAAGCTCAATTCTTGTTGTTTTATTGGCCTACCAGAGCTGATCATGCATGTTTCCTTTTGCTGTGATGCTGGATGATTTTTCAGACAAATTCTGGGGCTCTTTCAAAGCAAAGCCCATTTGCTTGTCTTTCACGGGCATTTACGCATAGACACAATGAACCAGGTTCCATAGAATTATAAGACGACACATTTTTCACCCTTCAAATCTTCTGGACTATATTTAACATGCAAATGCAAGCCCCAGTGACTGGAAGATAAATGTACATCTGGCTTTTTGGTTCACATTGACCAGTAAAAGATTAGTAATGTAATACCACTATGTATATATGTTTATTGCTTACCTTTAAATTATTCAGTATCTTGTAGTGGATGGTCACTTAAGATAAATCTGGATGATATATTTGAGCATGTGGTTCAGGTTCCACATTTTTGTAACATACTCAAGGAACATCAATTTTTCCTCATGCGGTCTTTTGCTCAAATTCAGCCATTTTATTTGCTGACACTTGTTTTATAGATCGGGCAAAATCCTTAAAATATGTTAAAGAACATAGTTTTGTACTAATTAGACTACTAATTGTACATAAAAGCTGCAGGCCCACGTGACAACTGAATCCTGTATTTATTTGGAGGCTAATAAAAGTTTCTATTTACATTTTGTGAAACCGAAAATGTATTCTGCACCAGGAAATAATCAAAAATGGCGTATGGCATGCTTATGAAAGTTTGAGAGATTCAAAATGGTTTCCAGTTTCCATGATTTAAATTACTGCGTGCTTTTCTTTGACGACTGCATTGTAAACATCACTAAATGAAGTTTTTCTTGAATTCTAATTGACAAAGTAGCAATAAGAGACACATTCGCGATCAACCCTTTCAGGTGAAACAACACTGTTCACCAAGTAAAATGTAAGGTTTGTCAGACCGTGTATCAAATAACACATTGGCATAAACAGCCTCCTTGGGTCCCTGAATCTGAATTTTTATGACTTGCAACTATACCCTGTCCTTCCCAGCAGTCGCATCGTTGGTCACACCCGACCTAGAGTTGCTTGGTTAGTCACACCTGAACCATCAACAAAGTCACCTCTGAGTTGCATCTAACAGGGCATGATTCATTGACTGCTTCACAAAGTAACTGGTTATGGCTGCCTCTTTATTTACTACATGTTGCACCTACTAAAATTGCACCCCTTCTTAACAGCTTAACATCTAAAACATGCACCTATCTGACGTAGCATGGGCCTTTCATGAGGTGAGACTGTGGTGAGATTAAAACAGTAGTCAATAGAATGACCTGTAGGTTGGCAATGAGCACATGAGTTGCCAGCACTGTTAGTGCTTGTCTGAAAAGCTGCTCTATTACAAGGTGATGATTTTGACTTTTTTGTTGAAGGACAGGTAGCGAAATTCATTGTTAATTACTGCGACATCTCCATACGGCCAATCTCTCTAGGTAAAAAAATCCATGGACCATTCCAGATCGCTCTCCCAATGCAGATTGCCACGGGCGCACTCTAGTCTCATGGTCTTTGGCAATCTTGAAACCACTAAGGGTGTGAGAAAATCTCAAAACTGCCGTCCATGAATTCCAGGCCTACCCAACTACCAGACTCGGCACCTAAGGATCCTGAATTAACCGGTATATCGGACCATACTACCCGTTTTCCAGGTGTGTGTCAGATCGCATTTCGGAGTATCATACCCCAGAATAAATTTAGTAGGCCGACTGCGGGCTCATCCATGCTCGGCTGAACAACCTTAAACTGTACTCTTACTTTAGAGTTCTCTATTCTATTGTCTCAATGGGGGTATATGGGGACTTTACGACATTCGGTTTGAATGTTTTAACCACTTTTGATAGGGCTTTTTTTGCATTGTATTAGATTAATGTGGCAGTCTAAGGTTCATCTAGGTGGCTTTCAAATTTATGCACCCGGTTTCAAAATGATATAGCGATTAAATACGACAATCGTTTACTATCCAATCAAGGTGACACCCGAGCGTGGGCTCATCCTGTCGGTGTTCTGGCTGATACTCCGAAATGCGATCTGACACACACCTTTAAAATGGGTAGTGTGGTCCGATATACCGGTTAATTCTGGATCCTTAGGTGCCGAGTCTGGTAGTTGGTTAGGCCTGAATTCCTAAATTTTCCAATGCTCCTCATTTTCTGTTAAGTCGTTGTAGAATTTCCAGTAATGAGATATTGTTGGGTTTGAATATTTTGAAGACTTATTTTGGACAATTCATGGATATGGTTCGACTTAGACTTAATCTTTTTGTATGGAAAATCACACAGCAAATACCTTTACCCCAGATAAGATTACCGGACTTTATACATTTAACTTGAACAATGATATTGGATAATGCAATAAACATGAATAATTAATGATAAAACAGCTCTATGTTAAATTGTAATTGTTATTAAAAGATATTATTATTATTTTAATATCTTAACACGTACATTGTATAAGATTGGATGTTTACAAGTTTAAATTTTTCTTTTGTTTTAGTTTTTCACGTCACAGTTTCATTTGTATTGCCCACTGAAATAAACAGAAGCAGCCGCTTAATATCGCGTCTTTATCTATCAATTATGTGGCCCTTGAACACTACAAAAGTTAACGGTATTTGTTTTGCACTCTGCACACAGAATGGTATCAGTGTTATCTGCAAGGTGCGGACGATGATGTGTCACACGACTGAAGATCCCCGAAAAGATGTATACGTGTTTGTATATATTTTCACGCTGCCTGCCTTTTCGTCTGCCTGCCCTTTTTGATTTGTTTTTGTGTGTTTCATCCCTGATTCAAGACTGAAGGTATGTCGCATTTGCCAAAAATTCAACAAGTTAGCTATAATTGTTCATGTCTCTTGATTGCTACTGGTACATTTGCCCTTTGTCAAGTATAAGAAGGAATCCTTGGTTGAAATGTAAGACAAAGTTGACTTAAACTGTATATATATGAAAGTAACAGAGGCGATGCTACACATATTATATATATTTTTTTTCCTTCGAAAATAACTGCGTAATGTCCCATCTAGTTTGCAAAAGAGGTGGGAGAGACGCCCCATATACCGTAGGGTCCACTTTCTATTTTGCCGATTTTTCAAATACAGCACGAGCAATATAATTACAAAGGCATACGCACGGATATGCACGGATGCATACGCACGGATGCACTGTGCGTACAATTTTTTTGCCAACCATGATATTATTTTGTATAAATTTAGTGTATTTTTCACGGAATATAAAAGAAAATCCTCTGCTGATTAAAGTCACCTGTATGTACAAATCCTCTGTATCAATTGTATAGGCACAATTGTTCTGACCCCCCCCCCTCCCCGTCTTGCAAACTGAGATAAACAATGCCTGTAACCTTAACAAGTCCAATCTTAATCGTCAATCTAACTGGAACTTCTTTTATCTCTTAATTGGAGGGTTCAGTGGCCCTCAACTCTTCTGTACCCTCTTTCTTGAGAATATATTGAACACATCTCACTGGCGATATTTATCTCAGGTAAAAATCTGCCTGAGTGTTATTTTCAAAGAGCAGCTCCCGCAACCCTGGGGGCACTAGATAAAATCCGGACACCAGGTTCAAGAAGGAGCTATACATGTAGAAACAAAGGAAGAATTTTTCCTGCAAAGCTTCAAATAATTTTGACACGGACTTGACCCAGCTTACCCCTCCAAACTAACAGGGTGACATGGGCAATTTTTACACACAAATAATGAAACTTAGATGTTTCAGAGCTCTGTCATGTTGTACAATTGGTTGTTTTTGGGAGCCATGCATCCACATGTAAGGTGAATGAAACCGTATGTTAGTTCAACTCAGAGGTGGATCCAGGATTTTTTGAAAGGGGTTCCACAGCTAGCCTCCTTTTAAATAAATATACCGTACCGTTCTGGGTAATAAGAATATGGAAACTTTTTTAATTGCGAGAATATTTCTGACTAAATGATGATTTTATTATTAATGGAAATTAAGCTGCGATGTGTGGTACGTATGCTGTAATTACGCTGTCCTTCATCTCTTGCGTTAGTCTACATTTTGCTGGGAATTTTAAAAATCTGTGCGTACAATTTTTAAAGGTCTGGTTACGCCCCTGATTAGAGGTGACCTCGGGAGCTACATGTACCCAGTTTTGTTAAGTAGGTTAACCCTAGTTGTCAAATATTGGTCAAAGCTCAATTGCCTTTATTGAGCTTTGAGCGCTTCACAGGTTACTTTTTAACTACGTACACAGAATGATAATAACGTTATCTGCTCCGTGCGAACGATGATGTTAAACATGGCTGAATATTTTCTTTTCTGAATTTTGTCACACTTACTGTCGTTTTTGCAGGACGTCAATTTTGATTTGTTTTTGTGCGTTTTTTCTCTGATTTAAAGGTGTAAGTATGTATACTAGGTTATGTGATGATTACCATGAGGATCCATGATGCAATGTTTTAAATCCGCTGAAGACGCTAAAGTTTCTCTTGTGGCTAGCCATAAAGCACTGTATTACTATGGGGCTATACGCGGAGCCGTTTGTCCTAAAGAGGGCGCTGGGGTAATAGTGGTTGTTGAAGATAGCCTCGTTTTCGCGTCCGTGTAGAAATGACTTTAGAGTATGGGAAGCAAACGGTGGCGAAGTTAAAACTTCAACTAGTTGAAAGAGGAGCCTCCACTAGAGGAAAGAAACAGGATTTGGTAGAAAGGTTAGTGTATTTACTTATAAATATGTCAATTGTATCATTAATATTGAAGGTTTCGCGCTCGAATCTTCCCGTAAAATATGGGTTTCTGTGTGAGTTCCTTGTCAAAAGCCAGGTGTAAGCGGCGGCTAGTTCCGCACTACTTATATGCCTAATTTACTACTATATTTCAAGATAATGATATTGTCATTGCGTATTTCCATATTCCGAGAATATAATGAAGGTATTTATGTTTAAAATATGTTTATTGTAGGCACTCCTAGTCGATAAAAGACCGTTCGTTTCGGTAATCAAATTTCGTGTACCAGGTCCGACATTTAACACATGACTTGTGTCAACACAAATTTGTAAAGGAGAAACAAGGGTTGATGCGTGTTTTATGTCAATGACAGTTGACACAACTAAGTGTAGATGAGGTAGACAATCAAAACAGTGTTTGCCAAGAATGTTAGCAACGTTTTGTAAGCAACATTGTTTTTTTCACTCCCTCATAATTGCATTGATGTTGGTAGGTCACAGAGAAGGAAGTGTCAGAACTTGAAAACAGAACTAGAGGCCAAAGTAAAAGTCGAGTGTGGCATGAAGAAAGATCATGGAGAATAACAGCATCGAGGTAGGTGTGCAAACGAAAATAAGTTTGCTTGTTTTTTACTTGTTCAAATGTCTTGTATCAATATCGTGTCCTAGCTTGAGCTACTATATATACCTGTAGTTGCATTATAATACAGAAATACAAGTTGTGAGATGATATATCATGGACAGTAAAAAAACTATCTCACTAATTTAATTTTATCATTTTTAGGTTTGGTGATATTTTGAACGCGACCAAAAGACAAGACAAGGACAAATTATGCCAGTCACTGTTGTTTACCCATGAAATCAATACTCCATATTTCTTAAAATGTACAGACATATAGTCGTCAACAATGTCACGTTCTGGCCAAATTTTCATTTCACTGAGCTGGAAAAACAAAGTTGATCCATGTGCTTATTATTTCTGACACCATTGTTACCGATAGCTTAATCGTCAAAGGCTTGTCTCTGTTTCATAATGATAAAAAACATTGACCCTGGTGACAAACATTTGAAATTCAAGCGGTGAGCTGCTGGCCCAAGGCCATTGAAAAACAACATGAAATGTTCAATATGACTAAATCCAGTTTGATACTGGACAGCCTTTGCATTTTTCTGGTATAGCATGATGCTTTCTCTTGTGTCTGATGGTGTTGTGATATCACACTGGGAAGCTGTGGGGCCTACTTTCTTTTTGGCTCTCACCAGCGCAGTCTTCATGTTTGTCTGCCACTGCTTCATCTGCTTGAGACTCATCCTATATAGGGTACAACAAAAAATAAATACATAAGTTAATAAATTACACAAAGAAAAATACTTAATTGTTAATTGTCTCTAGTATTTCTAGTATTAAGACAGATAATTATACAAATAAAACGAAACATTTTATTTATAAATCTGTTATTTTATCATGCGTTATATTTACCTCCACTTCATTGGATCTGATACTTTGCGAATTATTAAATGGAAGAAAAAGATACCTTCCATATTTGGAAGGTATCGTTCCTGGCTTCAGTCTTTTTCTTTCATCTGCAAAAGGAGTGCACATAACGATTATTAATACAATAAAAATCAAGTTGTCCCAATTTGAAAACGCGACCTTTAAAAAACCTCATGTATTATCACATAAAAACGAAGAAATAATTGTAGTGGCTGGTCGGGGTTGACCCGGGCTCGGTAGCTTAGTCGGTGGAGTGTTTTCTCCCCCAAATCGCTACATAATGTTAGGTGAAGAATGTCTTAAAAATTAACATTCTAAGCACGTTAAACGACATAATTACTTAACAACGATAACAAAGACCTAATGAATAAGTTGACAAACTCATTATTAATACTAAAACCGACAACAGCAAGTACAACTTGCGTATAAGTGTAATCTTCCGCACGAAAGTGGAGGAAACAGACTTTGTCATGTGCCTTTGGTTTGCATAGTGTTTTTGATGTAGAATCAACCCTCCTGATGGCAACTCTCCACTGGTAACTCAGCTTTGTGTCTTTCGGAAAAGTATGACCTGCTGTTGACGATGTACATTCCGGAACACAACGGTATCCTGGCATTATTTAGAGCGATATTTACAGCGTCAGGTTAAAAATGAAACTGCAAACACACGAGAAAGTACGCGCATGCGCAAAAGTACCCCAACTAAAACACGCGCGCCACCCAGTGGTGAAAAAAACTGATAGCCCCATTCCCTATAGGACACTCAATAAACTACCCGCAGGAATCACGCGATGAGCTTTCAAGTGGATGGGCTATATTTGATCCTCGGATCTGTTAGTCATTGGATAAACTTTTTGTTTGGAAATGAAGCCTACCATTTTATTTTGCAGCCCCCTTAAGAAAATCTAAGGGGGCATACATTGCTCAGTGTGTACTCCATATGTAAAGAGGCGTAAACTGCCTCCATCGCATAAGACCCCATTCAGATTTTAGATCGATCTATCCCTGTGGGGAGTCTCACTAAATTACTGTCAGCTTAGCCGGCTTAAGCGTCTGTCCCGCCTACTTAAAGTTGTAATTGGGTAATTAACTACTGTGCGCGCTCGGTTGACAGCAATTTAGCGTGAACCCCCAGGGATTTAGGTCGATCTAGATGGATCGATCTAAATCTATGGGAATGCAGTATAAGACGAAAAGAAAATGTGAGCTTTAAGTTTGGGCTTTGTATGTCGTACTCTACACGCATCACAGTGTGGTTCACTTTAGGTGAAAATATATGCCTGAGAAATTAATTAAAACCCTCATTCGGGCTCGGTGTAAACGTTTTCACATCCATGAGGAGGACAATGTCACAATGCTGCCCGGACGGTACAGTACATGGTACATGCATATACATGTATTAAGCGTATTATATACTACCAATGCAGCACGTAGTTTTCTATGGGAGAGGGTTAAATAAAATAGTTGACTGCAAAACGTACATAGGAAATGGAAATGATGAAAATTGTTAAACTTTTTTTTTGTCTGTTTTAAACTGTTTGTTGGGGGAAGGGCACCTTAGAAATTGAGAGGTTGGGGTGTAACAGGAATGGAGGTCCGCTAGGAACCGTAGTCCGCTTCCTATTTCATTGTACAGGTGATATCCGTTCTATATAGTTACCCCATTACTGCAACTAATCCTAACCTGTACTTATATCATATGGTACCCCTGACTTCCATTCCTAGGACTTGCATTCCTGTCACAACGGTCATCCTGGATCTGTCTTGGTGTTCACCACATAAGGTGCACCCTGCATACCACAGAGAGAATTGCATATAGGTGAGCGGAGCTCACAATTGTGCGTGGGGCTTCCTGCCCCCGCAAAGCCACAGTTATAAAACGATTGACGTGTGTGTATATATATATATATATATATATATATATATATATATATTAGGGAATGAAAGAACAAGGCCTGGTAAATGCTGGACGCTGTACATCAATGTCAAGGTACAGTAAAATTGTTGCACCCGGCACACATAAAGAGGAAGGATGACAAAGCCATTTATATGCTCAGCGGTTTCCATTCAGTGGAGAGAATAAGAGAATAGTTCTCAGTGGCTCTTTCCAACTTCTTGGTCATTGTGGATATCTAAGTCAGTCCACTGTGACATTGCATGAGCGTGATGTTTCACCCCCAGACAGTCTATACCAAACTGAGCCCTAATCATTAGCGTATTTTACAACACATCCCTAACGGGTGGTGTCGTGTATGACCTCATGGTATCATTAACCAAATATCAATAATTTTGGCAGTAACATAAAAGAAGCTTTTGGTAAATAAATTAATATTATAATACACATTGCAGGGGAGCTTCAAAACTATCCTATACTGATCAAGGTACTTTTAGAACATAAACTGGCTTAGTTAAGGGATAATTACATGAATATTGTTCTTTTCAAATTATTATTTGCTTTTATCTCCCCATAGTCCTGAAGATCTACCTAAACAGAACTACAGGTAGCACTTTGCATCCTATCAGGCACTCCTAACTGAAAAAGACAGAAACAATGGTGATTTTTTAAATAAAAATAAAATGGAGAAATAAATACATAAATGTAAAAGGATTAAACAATAAAATTAGTCAACTCATTCTCGCGTAGATCAATCGACTATCACCCGTGTTTTTTATCAAAATATTCGCTGCAAGAGAAAGAAGAGAGAGAGAGAGAAAGCATCCGTCATCTCAATTACGATGACGTACAAGTCAGAAGGTGTCGAACGCAACAAAGGTCTTTGAGCAAGCAGTGGTGATCGCGATTGTTTCACAGCATCGGCTAGCTACACTAACTGTACCAGTAATCCTTGAACGTACCATTTCATTGCACGACACTCGCGCTCCAAAATCGATAAAATAACTGCGGATATTAAATATCAGGACCCTAGGTAATAAGTGAAGACGAACTAACGGAAGGACGTTTGTCTAATATATATTTTCTGAAGATGACGTGAAAGCACACATTCCAAACAACATTTACCAACTCTAAAGAAATATGCAATTTAACAAAGGAAAGAATGAAATTACAGACAAGCAAAACCTCAGAGCTGATACACTGTAGAAAGAGACAAATAATTGGCTAAGGAAAGTAGCAACCGAGAGAGGTATTGCCATCATTGAGATAATTGATTAGTGGTTGGCTTCTGGAAAATGACAGAAATATTTTCTTAAACGTGTTGGGTAGTTGCTTCTTAATGCAATAGTAACTGGAATTCCTGTGTGTGCTGAAACAGCTTTGTATCACAGACCGATGTTTTTTTTTTTCTGCCGCATCTCCTAGGGATTCATGGATATGAAGGAATCGTACGATGTTGGAATGGCATAATCGTCGTTTTTTAACATGGTGTATGGACAGAGTCTACTTATACCAACGGAAACTGGCCAATTAACTGTCATTTGCAGTGCTTTGCACGTCTCAGATATGAGAAGTCGTTTAATGAGGCCATGTAAAAAAATAAGCTGCTTTATTAGGAAAAATCAGTATTATTGAAATAGTCTAAACTTGTTTTATTTTGTCTGAAAGTTGCATAAAATTGTGAAATAAACGTATTCCACTTGGGGCTTAGAAAAATATTTCTAAGAGCAGTGACATTTAAAAGACACTCAACCTCACAGTGTGTCAACTTAGGAGATCAATAATAGCGCTGTGGATAGATGTGGTACCTTGAACTTGTGAGGACGACCTGGGATCGAACTTTAAAAAATTATAATGGTAAAACTTGCTTCATGTGGGCTTACTTCTATCAGTCAGTAATCTGCGCCAATCGAATGACGTACGTGTGGTAACAGAACTCCTGACACAACTGCCAAAGGACTGCAAGGAAACGGCTTATGACCCCAAACGATCTACTTACAAAAAGGTCTTATCTGCCCATAACCAGTGTTTATGCCTTAACATTGTTAGATAGGATTATGTCATTGCGTGGTTGTGACTGAAGGGACGCTGCAACTTCATTACGTGCGGTGACCCTACATCAACCGTCATTAAATTGCAGTCAATACTTCATTGGGTGGCCTATATATACCTTTACCTCGCATCCAGAGTTTGATGAACGCATTGTTTACCGTGATTTCTCTCATGTTTTACTCTATTTTATATTGGGTGTTTTTTCATAAACAGTGTGTACATGACGTTTAACACCGGCAGATATATATTTTTTGAGTACTTTTTCGTTGGATTTTCTGCGAAACCTACGCATTACCAAGCAACATTACAAGGCAGATTTTCCTCATTTGTAAATGGCGGGAAACAGTTCGTATGACGGTGCTGCAGCGGGTCTGGTTCCGGATGACGTCACAGCGGGTCTGGTCCACCCCCACTGGCTGAAATATCCCCCAGTGTCGGCAGAATTCACCCTGGCGGCAGGCACCGTCCTGAGCAT